TAATTACTAAGCCATGCCAGCTGGGTGATACTCTCTCTTTAAACCCCTACAAACTGTCTTCTGTATCCTCCACTCCAGCTTTCCCTGGATTTTCCTGGATTCAAAAAAGTCCAACAAATGTATGCCAGACACTGTACTAGGCACTGGGGATACAAAGAAAGAAAGGTCCCAATCTCAAGCAGTCCAATTAAGGAATCCGATCCCCAGAGAGCTTGCAATCATAAAATCTGAAGGACTCTTCCCGATTCTCTCCTCTCCTTAACCCTCCACATCATCTCACACCCATGATCATCATCTTAAACTTCACTCTGTCTTTGAACCTCTGCAGCTTGTAAGGAGTGAAGGTTGGAAAGGAGCCAGCAAAGTGAATGCGAATGGTTAGAGAGATGAGAGAAGAACCTGGAGGGTGGGTTATCTAGATCAGCGGTCGCCAATCTTTCAGACCTCACGGACCACCAGTGGTCTGTGACCACTGGTTGGTGACCACTGGTCTAGATAAAAATTTTCAGATGGGCAGTGAAATGAGAAACAACACTGAGAATCTGCATACAGATGCCATCTTCAGACCATTGTCCTAGTCCAGCACTGTGGACCTCTTGCTTGGCCCTCTGACTTCCCTTCCTGACTTCAGGAGCTCTCTTCTCTATTTATTCTTCATGACGTTGTATTTGGTTCTAATATTTATCTGAAAACATTCAGTGCTCTCTGCTACTTCCCAAAGTACAAACTCCTTACTCTACCAAAGATATCCACTAGATGACCTCAGATTTTCCCCTCTTCCCCACACTCCAGCCAAACTTCACTTGCTACTCTCAAACACTTTCAACACTTCTAGCTTTCCCTCTACTACATGAAGAGTCAGGGTATCACCTCTGCTTTAAATTCTACTTCTCCCACCATCCTCATCCACTGAAAGTGATAACCATCCTTCAAGGCCCAACCCCAATGCCTATCAATTCCATGCAGTCTTTTTCAATCTGGGTTGGATGTGCTGTCTTCATCCTGAAACTTCTCAATGGACTTCCTCTGCATTTCTCTTACAGCATCAAATGTACACTGTACTATAGTGAGGCCATACATGCTTGTCATATCACTTCTGTCACATCCCTGAATGGTACTAGGTATCTATCATCCTGTAGTACATTCATCCTCACCTGCCATCATTGCTCTCCAATACTACCCATAACAGTACTTTGAAATGAACTTGATTTGTGAAACAGTTACACATGTTGACTTGAATAGCAGGATCTGATATTCCAAAAGTCATGTCATGGTCTGTTTTTATCTGTATTTTGTATTATTTTGGTGTCCAGTCTAACTTTTTAAAAATGACTTTTAGAGGTTAGAACTCAGGGGAATTAATTTCCCAAAATTTTGAATGAGCAATTCAGTTCACATTTGAAATACTAAGAATTTGTATACTGGGTAGAAGTAAATAATAATACAGCATTTATACAGTTCACATTTTTCTCCAGTTTGTCACTTTATTAACTTCCTAAAGGAAGAAGTAGATTCCTGGAACAAATTTTTAAAAAGGCAAAATATCACTCTGTGAACCATTCCAATAACAGCAATATCCAGAAATTCATCCAATTTGTTTCCCTATAATAGATTTCCCCTTCATTTTCTATTAAACCCAAGATTAATAAAAAAAAAATCCATCATTATACAACTCCCATGCAGAAGTCATCATGCTGAGATTAGAGAGAAATAAAAAAGGCTGATCCCTGCCTTGATAAGCTCACAGTATAGCAGGGAGGACAGGCAATTACTACATAATTATTATATAAGGCAAACTGAGATTAAGTGCTATGATAGAAGGACCTGCCAAATTTAACAAGTGAGATAGTGAGATTAATTCCCATCAGGTGAATGCACATGACTTGGAAAAAGGACCTGCGATTGAGCAAGATGTTGGAGGGTGGGCATTAAAGAGACAAGAGGACTGCAGAAGAAGAGGACAGAAAACCAAAGGCTCCAAGTCCAGAAAGTTCTATGTATGCCAGAAAAGTATAGTGTGGTCCCATGTGGTTGGAGTGTAGGTGTAAGCCATGGGAAGTCACTGAGAAGTTTGTATTGTGGAGAGTTGGACACAGAGTGACATGATCAAAACTGGCAGCATTGCCAGGCCAGAGTGGCTCAGTAATTGAGCACCAGGCTATGAGCAAGGAGGCCATGGTTCGATTCCCGATCAGGACACATGTCCAATTTGCAGGCTTGATCCCCAGTGTGGGGCAGCCAATCAATTATTCTCTCTCATCACTGGTGTTTCTATCTCTTTCTCCCTCTCCCTTCCTCTCAATAATAAAATCAATAATAAAAATATGTCGTTTTTTTAAAAAATTGGCAGCACTGTAGAAGATAAATTGAAAGGAGAAGAAACTAAAAGAAGGAAAGCCCGTTGGGAAGCATGACATAAATTAGGAAGCATATGTAGAAATGGATAAAAAATATTTGAGAGTTACTAATAAGTAGAATCTATAGGGATTTGGAACTGATGTGGGTATGAGAAGCAAGACAGGGAAGGAATAGAAGAGTTGACTTCAAGTTCTCAAACCTGAACAACTGAGAATCATCCAAATTGAGGGACATGTAGGATCAAAAGCAGGTTTGGCAAACTGCAAAGAGAATAGGGAGGTAACAGCTTGTGATCCTCATGAACTTCCAAAGGAAGATGCTTGAGAGTTAGGCTTATTAGATTCACTCAAGGCCAATGTCAGGGCTAGATTTAGAAATCACCCATACAGCTTTGGCAGCTTAAGCTATGAGATACTAAATGAAACCATTAAGGCGAAGAAAGTAACATGAGAAGATGGCTGACAGGGGACCACTAATGATATTTTTACTTTTAAGGAAAAGACAGAAGCAGTGGGTACTGGGAAGGAGTAGTCAAGTTGGTAGAGAAACACAAAAACCAAAACTTGCAAAAGGGTGGTCAAAATGGTTGAATACCTGGGGGAGAGAAAACAGAATTAAGACTGAAGTGAGGCACTATATTTGGCCAGTAAAAGGCCACGAGTTCCAAGAAGGTACCTCCAATAAAGCTGGATACTGGAATGGGTTGGAGGAATGAATGAACTATTAATACAGACTATTCTTTCCAGAAGACTAAATTGAAGTGAGAGATGGGACAGTAGTTTACGGGAAAGCTGGCCCAATACTTGACATTTGAAGAGGAGTAAACCCTAAAAGAGGCAGAATATGCCAGAAAAAGTGGGTGAATAATAGAGCAGGATCTTATAGATGGGCCGGGGCCTCAGTTTGTTCAAACTTATGTGAGCCATTCTTTAAATTTCTGATAATTTAGGGCCAGATATGTAAAACCCAGAACACTTTCCCTAACTGAATTTTCATGGATTAGACTTACATTCTCACCTTCATAATAATTTCAAATATGCGTTCCCATAAACTTTTGTTTTTATTAAGGTATTATATGTGTACATAACTTACCAATCCCTATCACCATAAACATTTTTATCCTAATAGTTAAAAATATTTAATATTGAAATATCTTTTAAATCACATATTTAATAAAAAAAAACTGAGAAAAGGCTGAAAATCTATTGAATTCTATGATATCACTGAATTTGTTTTAAGCATTACAATTGAATCTATAATCAAAACATGACTCATGATGAGTACTTCATATCCTTTTAGATTTCTACAGTCTTTGTGTAATTGTCCTTTTTATCAACTATGAATTTCCTTTGACTGCAACAACTGCTGATGAAATCTGGGAAGAGAGAAGCCTTTTTCTCATTAGAAAAAAAAACCTGATACATTTATGCAAATAAATCAATTAACTAAAAGCCATAGGAAGAAGAGCTACATTACAAAGTAGTTCTTCTATTTAATGATTTCTTTCATTACATTCAGTCTAGCTGACAACATATTGATCACATGTGTGTGTGTGTGTGTGTGTGTGTGTATTTCATTTTTAAAGAATTATTTCCTTGTTTACCTCTTAGAAGTTGTTTGCTTCCAAGTCTGTTTAGCACTAAGCAAGAGAGGAGAGAGGTAAGAATATGCAAGCAAATAATGACGAAAGAAAGAAAGAAAGAAAGAAAGAAAGAAAGAAAGAAAGAAAGAAAGAAAGAAAGAAAGAAAGAAAGAGCAAGACCAAGGCAGAATATAAAATTGTTTTAAGAGCAAGATGCATGGGAGGCTTTATTTCAGTCATGTGTCAAAACAAAATTAGATTATTCAGTTTAGTGAATAGAAAAGTTCCAAGTACACACATCCTGAATCTTTAGACGAAGTCATAGATTATTAGTAAACACACAAGTCTATCCTGCCAAATATACACTAAATGCTATCAAATGACATTAAAAGTGCCACTCCTTAAAAATAAAGTCTGCACTGAACTACTGTCTGTGTCCATGGGGTATGCATATCATTCTTTAGCTAATCACGTCACCTTCTTTATCCAGTCATCCCCACAGGGAACAACTGCAATTATGTCAACTTCAAATTTTTTTTTAATTAAAAAAAGAGCCTGCCTTATTCAGCAACTGCCTGCATTACCTCTACAATGTATCTGAATTTTAGAAATGGGTTTGCTTAAATGACATGTACTCTCAGAGGACTTGTGCCCTTTTATAACTGGTGCCACCAAAGCCTGACATTGCATACATTCTTAGCTCCCAAGTTGAGGAAAAAGACCTTTGGGACGTGACTTCACAGTATGGCACATCACATGGCCACCATGGCCCACTTCACAGCTTCATGCCTGTTAGAGAGGGCTTGCCAAGACCCAGAGCATGCTCAGGGATGGGAGAGAGCATAAATTGCTCCAGGTCAAGCTCCCAGGCTCACTCGGAGTTCTAATCCACTTCCAGGCCCGAAATGCAATCACTTGGGATGAACCATCCCGCACAGGCCGTCTACCTCCAGGAATGGTTCAATCCTGTTTAAGAAATACCTTCACATACACATAACATGGGAAAATGCAACACAGACAGTATATAAAAGAGGAGACACCCGAGAACCCTGGAATTTACCAGACTATGGGCCAGAGGAAAGGCGTATCTCGTGAGAATCTCAAACATATCTCTTCTGCTGTGGCCTTCTTGCTTCAATGCGAACCTTAGATTTCTCATGTCCTAAGGGGCAAAAAATTTGACATATCAGAGTTCAAATAAAGCCAAATTTGTTAGCTAAAAATCTTGTATTCAACTAAGGAGTAGAAGATTCACTTACCTGAAAGGGTAATTTATCTAGATTACTAAGAAAATTGCTTTGTATGATATTTTGAAATATCTAGTTTAAGAACCCCAGAAAATATTCCCATTGTAATCATGAATGTAAAATCAAAACAAATAGTGCTAAAGAGAAGACAGAGCTAAAATTCATTTTACAAAAAACAAAAACAAAAAAACCCCCACATCAAACCTTGCCTTGCATATCATCTACTGTGTCTGTCTACTTTAACTGGTTTCTGGGATATTTTTAAATGTAAAACTGTATTTTATTCATAGAACTTTTCAAATGTATGTTTGCTATCAAATTATAATCTCAAAATTGTCAAACATGTCATTTAAATACAGAAGCTCTTTCCCTCACTCTTTGTTTTTAAAGTCTTATTTTTAAAAATTAGGAAATGATTGGCATTTTAAACCCTCTTACAAGTAATGTGATACATTTTGCTATACGATTTTACTTTTATAGAGTTCTATATAACCACAGAGTTCTATATTGCCCCATATTAGGAGTGACTATACTTCCAGGAACTAAAAATTAATGATTAAACCATATTTTAAGGATAGCTTCTATTACATATCTCTTAAAAACCTTCCTTTAAACCAAATCTAAACAGAATTAGCTCCCGTAAGTATCAATTTATTATATATTATACAGAAAAATAACATTCTATCTTATTTTTAAAGCTCGAGTTTTTAGGTTGTCTCATAAATCAATCATGACACTAAGAATATCCTACATGCACTATCAACCAGGAAAAGGCACTATGCTGGACTCTGAGGATACATATACGTATGAGTGAGATAGATCCAGTCCCAGCCCTTTTGGATGTCACCAGCTTCATGTTTTTCAAAGAGTTTTTAATTTATTATCTCAAGAGCACTTTTAAAGCTTCCTAAGTCTTCAATGTGAAGGATCAGCAAAGTCCTTGCCTTATATAATCCAACATGTGAATGACAGCAAAGGAAGTATAAAGAACCAGACTCTAAGACCTCTAATGAATGACCCACGATAGATTATTCTGTATTCAGATAGCATCTACTGGGCCTTGGCAGCTCCAGGATTCTATACTTTCTTTTTTAAAAACATGTAACTGAATAAAATCCAAAAACTGATTCACAACATATTTCAAGAAAATGGCAATATTAGTTGTTGGCTCATGATGCCAAACACTAGTCAAGCAGAAGGAGAACAACTCATTTCAATAAGATGGTATGCTTTTAAAGAGTATGCCATGTGATGCAAGTATATCATAAGAAGTCTCAGGGCTCAAAGAGCTACGAGGAACTTTCTTCCTAACAGCCTTGGATTAGATGATAATTGGACAGCATCATTCTCTTAACCACTCAGCAAGAAATTAGACCATTTTTGGATAAATATTTATTCTGATCTATCAGTGATTCCAGCAACTACTTTCAATGTGCCAAAGCAAAAGTGATTCAAGTGACTTATTTTTCCCATCTGATGCAGATGTAATTAAAGGACAGGAAGAATTACTACCTCATCTTGCCAACTAGAAAATTGAAGTGGAAAAGGCAAATGACTAACAGAAGGCAGATCACCACATTTGTAAGAGAAATATGGGCATATACTGTTAAGTTCTATTTGGTCTCCTTTAGAGTCTGCCTCATTAGGGAAGCACACCTGGGAAAGAGCCTTGTGGCATAAGAATGTGGTAGTCTGACCCTCAGCCTCTTTAACAACTGGGTCACATGGGGATGCAATAAACCTCATTATAATAAATGAGTGGAAGTAAACACATCCATTTGCAACAACACAGAAGGGCTGATCTATTGAGGTGTCATTTATAGAGAGCATTTCTAAAAAAATAACACCATCACTGCTGACTTTAAAATAGCACACTGTCTTTAAACTGAGTAAATGAGAATGAGGTGTGCAACAAGACAGAAGGCTTTTTGGTGATATGGTTTGGCTTTGTTTTTTTTTGTTTTGTTTTTGTTTTTGTTAACAGGGGCTATACAACTTGGGTGGTCATAATTCACATATTCAGAGCCATCTTTGCTTCTGTTGCTAAACAACATCCATTGGGACATATATCTACCGTTTGAAAGCTGCTACATGCAAACAGAAATCCCCATGTTCAGAGCTGGTAAAACCAAATATGTAGGGGTTGTGACAACTTGCTTCAGTAGAGAAACACAGTTGAATGATGGTTACTGACTACAGATGTCATCTGGCCTACGAGAGGCTGGAGGGTGAGTTTTTATCCCACTGCTGTAGATCCCCTTTAATAACTTCAGGTCTTACTATGAAAATGGAACTTTATTCTCATGGCATTGGTGTTTCCTGGAAGATAACTGAGTTAAAGTTTGTGCCACAACTCTGGTCTTGGCCACTGTCTTTGAGCTTAATTCTAATTCCAAGAAATATAGGATATGCCCCTAAAATGTGTACATACTACTTTAACAGCTGATAACTCATTTAATAAATTGAATATTAATAAACATTGACTTTATAATCGTTCAAAGTATATGTGTAACACTTGAGAATTATGCCTGGTGAAGTGTTCTAGCCTTTTTTTGTTTTTTACAATAAACAGTCAAAGGATAAGAATGTACTTTCTCTTATTAATTTTGGGTGATTAATAGTTAATACAAGTTTTTCCTATTGATAAGACAATAAATAGGATTTGTTAAAAACTCTATTAGAATAAAAGTTATTTCAAAATCATCAAAATAGCAATCCCATTTCCCTTGAGTACTATAATATAACACTCTACTCCCATGGATCCTTTTATACAAAATGTAAAAATTTTCCTTAAAAGTAAATCCCCAGCCGAAACCGGTTTGGCTCAGTAGATAGAGCGTCGGCTTGGGGACTGAAGAGTCCCAGGTTTGATTCTGGTCAAGGGCATGTACCTTGGTTGCAGGCATATCCCCAGTGGAGGGTGTGTAAGAGGCAGCTGATTGATGACTCTCCCTCATCGATGTTTCTAACTCTCTATCTCTCTCCCTTCCTCTTTGTACAAAATCAATAAAATATATTTTTTTAAAAAGTAAATCCCCATATTTCTAGGCCTCAAATGATATGTATCTGGAATCACAGATGAGGCATTAAAAAAAAAAGAAAGTGGGGAGTGATGGAGAATTTTAGTTCAAATTTAAAAATGCCATAATTCTTTGTTTCTGATTGGCTGTACTAGTCTTCATCTTTTATAAATCAAAGACAAAAAAACTCTATTGTGTTCATAATCCAAACCAAACTATAGGATATTGGTTTTAAGAAGCCAGTGAATGAGACTAGAAAAGGGAGACTTATGTTTTCATTCTCACTCTTCCACCAGCTCCTTAGACAACCCTAGTAAGTAATTCCACTTAGCAGGGGCCTCATTTCTGCATCCATAGAATAAAGGACTTGGACTTCTCAGGAGTCACCAAACTTCAGCCCAGGTGAGTCTTTGTATGGTCTTCAGGCTAAGAATGCTTTTTATGTTTTAAAAGGGTTAAAAACAAAACAAAACACAGAGGTGTACATATGACAGAGATGCTATTGGCCCACAAAGCCTAAAAGTATGATTTGGGGTAGAACCCCAAAATCAACATTTTTAAAGTGGGTTTTCAAGTTACCCTGATGCATATCTAGGTGTAAGATCCACTGGGGTAAATGGTGTCCAAAGCCTTCTAATTCCTTCTAGGATTGGCCATTCTACAAAATGTGGTCTTTTGATGATACCTTGAAACAAGTTTCTTGCCAAAGAGTTTATTTTGTTCTTCGCATAGTGATTATCTCACTATATCTGGATCCCAACTTTGCTATTTGTTGGGTAATCTTAATCTTAGCTAAGTTACCAAACTCTTATCCTTAGGTTCCCCATCTATAAAATGGGGAAACAACTGTCAATCTCAGAGGTTTGCCCTGAGGATTGAATGCAAACCACCTAGCATGAGTTTGGAGTGACATGGATGCTCAATAGATGATTACTATTATAACTGATTATATTTTATTATTATTAAATCTTGGCCTCTAACTATGCTAAAAGAAAATGTTAGGCTACTACCTTTCAAAACTATTTATGAAAAAGTTAGAACAGTTGTCAGAGGTAAGAACATATCCTGTTAACAGAGAGCAAAATCTCTTGTATTTCTCTTTTCTTTCACGGTGTGAAGGTATCTAGCTGGTAGCACATCACATGAAGGGACACTAGGAACACACCTGGACAAAACTAAAGAGTGTAAAATTTTACTTATAAAGTTTCTTCCTACTCAGTCAAGCTAACAAAATGAGCAGTTCAGGTCCTCACACTTGGTGGCAACAGCAGGTCACTTTTATAGGACTATTCCCATAGTTGGTTTTGGAAAGGAAAAACAAAGGTCTCTGATTTTTTTTTAACCCACATTAACTTTTACTTATCATTCAACACTAATGTGCCTTTTTTTTTCATGTAAGAAAGTACTGTATCTCTTACTTTACAAGTAATATCTAGACCATAGGAATTTTCTCCTCTACTTGTGGCGCCTCCCATTTTTTCAATTCTTGAGATCACTCCCAAAGGAACATCAAGAAGAGCAGAATCCTGTAACGGATAAAAAGATAAATGTCAATATTTCTGTCAGTATAATTAAAACATCAAAAACAAATTTACAACAACCATTTTTTATAAATAAAAGCATGATAGACTACGCATGAAAGAGCAAGCATTAAAATAATCAGCTATACAACCAAAATGCATCCCCCAAATGTGCCATTCTGCATTGCCTCCACAATAAAGATTAAACTTTTAGGTATACAATTCAAGGGCCCAAGATGCTGCTTCCAGCCTGTCTTTGCAGGCTTCTATCCCATGTCATTCTGTACACCAACTAAAGTGAACACATTTACTGTTCTTCAAATAATTCATCTACAATCAGGCCTATGTACTTTGTGTATGCTGTTCCCTTTTCCTAGGACCATGGTGGGTAAATTGTGGCTTGTGAGCCACATGCGGCTCTTTGGCCCCTTGAGTGTGGCTCTTCCACAAAATACAATGGCCGGGGTGAGTCTATTTTGAAGAAGCGGCATTAGAAGAAGTTTAAAAAATTGGGCTCTGAAAAGAAATTTCAATTGTATTGTTGATATTTGGCTCTGTTAACTAATGAATTTGCCGACCACTGGCCTAGGATGATCTATCTTTCCCAACTACCAAAATTCTTCCCGTGGCTTCAATCTAGACTCAGCATGCATTAGCTCTCATGAAGTTTTCCTTTCTAATTAGATCACATACTATTGACCACTTTCTACTCTGAAGTTCTACAACATTTGATTTAGACTGCTGTTACACCACTTGCTTCACTATATCTTGTTAGCACGAACTTCAATGTCTATTTTCCCCCACTGGAAAACAAACTCCTGGAAGTCATGCCTATCTTAGGCATGAGTACATTTCCCAAAGCAGAAGGACTTGAATGTATAGCAATGCTTCTCCATAATTTCTTATATAATTCTGGCTGAAAAGGTTCCATAAGACAGCTGGCATCACAAAATCATGTTAGCAAAGTCATTCTACAATCCTTGCAACAAGGTAACAGCAGCTACCGTATACAGAATTCCTTGTCTGTACCAGGTACTGCAACAGGGGCTTGACATGCATCATTTCATTTTATCCTCAGAATCATTCTGGATGTAGGTGAAGTATTCTGTTCCTGGATGTGGCAATCAAGGCTTTAAAAACCTTCAGTAACTTGCTTAGAAAATCTCAACCCTTGAGGATTGAGATTAAAGATGAGGTCCCATAACACATATCAAAGAAGCCATAACAATTCTACATTTTGACTCCACAACTGCACTTCTAAGAACTTATATTACATTTATGGCACACTAGAAGGAAAAGCTGTATGCATAAAGATGCTCAAGAGAGCCAGAGGTGAACATCAGGGTGTAGAAAATTACGTTTAGTCAACTCAATTGAATTAGCATGCAGCTACTAAAATAATAATGTACATGGAAAAAAAATAAGTTTAAATAGAAAAAAAAAGAAGCATACGAAATACACTGTGACTACAACAATGTAAAATACATATTCACATGTACAAAGATGGGAAAAGCTATACAATTTTTAATATATAATATTTTCTTTAATGCTGTGTTAGATGACTTTGATAATAAAATAATTTAAAGATTCTTATTAAAATTTTGTTTTTTAAAATATGTCTTTTCAGGGGTACAAATAAAAATTAAGTTTTTTCTCTTACTTTAAATCATTCTCCTTAAAACACAAAATAAAAAATTAAGTGGTTCTTCATAAAATATAGTTCATGGGTATTCCAGACATTCAAAAAGAATAAGACAGGGGTGCATTCATGCTACTTAATTACAAAGATGAATGTACTGTGGATACATGCGACACCTGGATGAACCTTAAGGGGATTCTGCTAAGTGAATAAAGCCAATCGCTAAAGGTCATATGCTGAATAATTCCATTTATAACATTCTTAAGAAGACAAAATTGTAGAGACAGAGAAGTGGTTGTCAGGGGTTGAGGGGAAGGAGACTATGGCTATAAATGGGTAGAATGAGGGAACTGGTTTATATATTGACTGTTGATGATAATTACATAAATTTATAACTGGTATTAAAAGTGACAGAATTAAATGTAAAAATATACAAAAAGTGAGGGCATGAAAAGCCGATGTGAGAGAAACCAAGATGGCAGCATAGGTAAACACTGAACTTGCCCCCTTGCACAACAACTTCAAAACTTCAACTAAAAGACAAAATGGACATCATCCAGAACCATAGGAAGGCTGGCTGAGTGGAAATTCTACAACTGGAAGGAAAGAGAAAAGCAGACTGAGACTCAGAGGAGGTGTGGAAGGCAGAGGTAGGGAGGCGTGTGCGTGCAGAAAGGGCTGGCTACTGAGTATGTGGCTGGCTTTTTCAATCTGTAGGGAGACACAAGCTCTCCACTGCTCTGAACTCAGTTCTGGGTGAGACTCTGGGGACCAAGACTCATACGGGGAGAAACTGGCCTGTCTGGCAGTGGGCGAAACTAGAGGGCAGCTTTCTCTCAGTGGTGCTTGCAGTGATTACCAAGGGCGGCTGAGACCTGGGAGCCTCTTAGGGCAGGGCTGACAGGAAGCCATTGCTGTTTGCTCTGTCCTGAGACCCTGCCTCATCCAAGTTGTGTGCAGAGGCTTTTGCATATGAATGGCCTGGTCCTTTGAAGTCTAAAATTACCTAATAAACTGCAGCTGAGTCAGAGAGACCCAGAACATCCAGAAGAAGGCCCAAGGCCCCACAGTAGCTTGCATTGCTTCACAGCTGGGCCTCATCTGGGCACCTCCAAACCCCAAACAAAGAGGAGGAATCTGCAGATATCTCTGTAGCTCCTGCTGGGTGGCCTCAGGCAGAGGCTAAATTAGCACCTCCTTGGAGATTCAAGAGCCAGTGTACCCAGGGGTCATAGTGGGACCATCCAGATTACAACTCCTCAGATCCATAAGGAACACACTCAGGGGGCAGACTCAGTGAGTACCAAAGCTCCACTGAAACAAGTCTTGCCTCATAAAGGTGTCTGCAGCATAGAAGTTCTCCCAGCGTAAAACAGGTGATCCTCACAGCCAACTGGCCTGGAGGTCAATTCCTCCCAGTGATATCAACAACAATCAAGGCTTAATCACAACAAGACTGTGCACACAGCCCACAAAGGGGTGCACCAAGAATGTCCACCTCAGGTAACTGGGGAGGCTGAGCCACTGGGCTTTGCTAGGACACCTAGCACACAAAGCCACTCTATTAACTCACAGAAGCAGCCAAAATGTGGAGACAAAGAAACAGGGCACAAATGAAACACATGGAGGAAAGTAAACTACTGGATATAGAGTTCAAAACCACGGTTATAAGGTTATTCAAGAAAAATTAAGTGAGACACTTGAGGATATGAAAAAGGACCAACTAGAAATTAAGCATACACTGACTGAAATAAGGAATAATATACAGAAATCCAACAGCAGATTAGAGGATCACAAGAATCAAGTCAAAGATTTGAAATACAAATAAGCAAAAAACACCCAACCAGAAAGCAAAAAGAATCCAAAAATATGAACATAGTGTAAGGAGCTTATGGGACAACTTCAAGTGTACCAACATCCAAATTATAGGGGTGCAAGAAGAAGAGACAGAGCAAGATACTTAAAACCTATTTAAAGAAATAATGACAGAAAACTTACCCCACCTGGTGAAAGAAATAGACTTATAAATCAGGAAGCACAGAGAACCCCAAACAAAAGGAATCCAATGAGGACCACACCAAGGCACATCATAATTAAAATGCCAAGAGCAAAAGACAAAGAGAATATTAAAAGCAGCAAGAGAAAAACAGTTAATTACCTACAAGGGAGCACCCATATGACTGTCAACTGATTTCTCAGCTGAAACTATGTAGGCCTAACGGGAGTGGCAAGAAATATTCAAAGAGATAAATAGCAAGAACCTACAACCAAGATTACTCTACCCAGCAAAGTTATCATTCAGAATGGAAGGTCAGATAAAGATCTTCACAGATAAGAAAAAGGTAAAACACTGCCAAACCAGTATTATATGAAATGCTGAAAGATATCCTTTAAGAAGAGGAAGAAGAAAAAGGTAAAGATAAAAAAATTATAAATAACAAATACATATCTATCAACAAGTGAATCTAAAAATGAAGTGAATAAAAAATATGATTAACAGAATAATCTGGGGAATATAACAGAATCAGGGGCATAGAAAGGGAGTGGACTAACAATTCTCAGGGGGAAAAGGGTGTGTGGGTGTGGGAAGAGACTGGACAAAAATCATATACCTATGGGTGAGGACAGTGGGGGGGGGCAATAAGGGCATGGAGTGGGGTGGAGTGGGAACCTGGTGGAGGGGAGCTATGAGGGGGAAAAAGAGGAACAACTGTAATAATCTGAACAATAAAGATTTTTTAAAAACCTGATGTAACTGTATTGTGCCAATCAACTATCTGGTTTTGATAAAGCAGTACAGTTATTGCAGATGTTGGGTGATGCGTACACAAGAATTCTCTGCATTATTTTTCAAATTTCTTGAAAGTTTATAATTATGCCAAAATAATAAGTTTAAAAAGTATAAGTATATGGTTATTACAATGTAGAGAAAAGTGCACAAGCTATTAAGCTGGACATAAATGGTTCAAATCTGAGTTTTGACATTTATTAGCTGGATGATTTTATTTTTTATTATTATTATTTTTTAAATATATTTTATTGATTTTACACAGAGAGGAATTGAGAGGGACAGAGAGTTAGAAACATCGATGAGAGAGAAACATCGACCAACCGCCTCTTGCACACCCCCCACAGGGGATGTGCCCGCAACCAAGGTACATGCCCTTGACCGGAATCGAACCTGGGACCTTTCAGTCCGCAGGCCGACGCTCTATCCACTGAGCCAAACCAGTCCCTGTTAGTTAGTCCCTGGTAGGGACGTGCAGGAGACAACCTATAAATATTTCAATCTCACATGGATGTTTCTTTCTCTCCTTTCCTCTCTCAGGGACTAACTAGTCCCTGCTAGTTAGTCCCTGCTAACTTG